GAAGAAATCTTACGTGCTCCTTTTCCTCACAGGCTTATGAGTTCCAAAAAAATTCAACATGCCAAGGACATATTGGAAACCTTCAGAAAAGTGCAAGTCAACATTCCTCTCCTGGATGCAATCAAGCAAATTCCAAGTTATGGAAAGTTCTTGAAGGACCTTTGTACCAACAAGAGGAGATTCCAAGATCATGAAACGGTTGCACTAACGGAAGAAGCTTCTGCTGTTTTGCAAAGGAAGCTCCCTCCCAAATTAAAAGATCCAGGAACTTTTACAATTCCTTGCATTATTGGTGATAAATTGTTTGAAAAAGCTTTACTTGATTTAGGTGCTTCAATTAATCTAATGCCTTATTCTGTTTTTGAAGCCCTTAACTTAGGTGATCTTAAACCAACTTCTATCAGCATTCAATTGGCAGACCGATCAGTGAGATATCCAAGAGGAATCTTGGAAGATGTACTTGTGAAAGGAAATGATCTCATTTTACCAGCTGACTTTTTGGTGCTAGAAATGGAAGAAGCTCCTATTCCGGGTGCGGATCTTCCATTGATTCTTGGCCGCCCTTTCATGGCCACTGCAGATACTAGGATCAATGTTCGACAAGGAACATTGACAATGACAATTCAAGGGGAAACAATAATGTTCAATGTATATGATGCCTTCAAACTCCCTAATTATGAACATGAATGTTTTCGTATTGATACATTGTGTCAAATTGTGCAAAATACCTTCAATAGTACTCATGGTACAGATTCATTAGAAAAGGTGTTGACACAAAATCCTCAAGTTGCTGAAATTGATGACGATGAGTTACATGAGGCTGTGCAATTCCTTGATGCATGTCCAGCCATACCACGTAAGTACACTCCGAATTTTATACCTTTGCCAGTCAATACTGAAAAGCTTGTTCCTTCTCTTGACAGGGCACCTGAGTTAGAGCTCAAACTATTGTCATCCCACTTGAAGTATGTTTATTTAGGTGAAACAGAGACATTGCCCGTGATTATAGCTAGCAATCTCAATGTGGAAAATGAAGATAAGTTGATGCGGGTGTTAAGAGAACACAAGGGAGCAATTGGTTGGAGTATTGCGGACATCAAGGGAATAAGCCCAACAAGATGCATGCACATAATTTTATTGGAAAATGATTCCAAACCCACAAAAGATGCTCAACGCGAGTTAAATCCAATCATGACAGAGGTAGTCCGAAAAGAAATTTTGAAGCTATTGGATGTGGGTATAATTTATCCTATTTCCGATAGCAAGTGGGTAAGCCCGGTCCAAGTGGTTCCTAAAAAGTCAGGAATAACTGTTGTAAGAAATGAGGAAAATGAACTTATTCCTTCTCGTGTCAAAATGGGATGGCGTGTTTGCATTGATTATAGAAAATTAAATACCGCCACCCGTAAAGATCATTTTCCATTACCATTTATTGACCAAATGCTTGAACGACTTGTAGGTCACAGTTACTACTGCTTCTTGGATGGCTATTCAGGATACAACCAAATTGTCATCGCTCCTGAAGACCAACACAAGACGACATTCACATGTCCTTATGGTACCTTCGCCTACCGGCGTATGCCATTTGGATTGTGTAATGCCCCGGCCACCTTCCAACGATGCATGATGAGTATTTTCTCCGATATGGTAGAAAAATATATTGAAGTATTCATGGATGATTTTAGTGTGTTTGGTCATTCATTTGAATCATGCCTTAACAACTTGTCTTTAGTTTTGCAAAGATGCCGGGAATGCAACTTAATTCTCAATTGGGAAAAGTGTCATTTCGTGGTACAACAGGGAATTGTTTTAGGTAATGTGATTTCCAGTCAAGGCATTGAGGTTGACAAATTTTGATTTTATTGATGAATGTTTGGCAGCTTTTCAAAAGCTCAAAACTCTTCTCACAACTGCACCTATCATTATGCCTCCAAATTGGAATTTACCTTTTGAATTAATGTGTGATGCATCTGATTTTGCAGTTGGAGCTGTATT